ATCTCTTCTACCAGATCGACTCCTCTAATTAGTCGTAGCACACATGCTACAAGTTTGTTGAGAATCTCTTTTGTTACTTACCGTCATTCGCAGTCTATTTAAAGTCATATATGCACCAGACCACGTAACTTTTGATTTATCGCACAGCTCCCGGTCGGGAGATCCATGTTGAAATTAAACCTTCTGACTGTGACGCGTATTCTAGTTATCATATAGGTTAAATAGGACACCTTAAATGTGGCCTGTTGCATGTGAGATAGGAGACAGCTTGCGTGTACGTACGTGTGTGTTTAAATGTCCGAGTTAACAAAACTCAGTTACATCTCCCCTCCACTCGATCCAGACTTTAATCCGAATGCAAGTCACTCAATCATTTTGGTGGCGAACAGCCACCAGAAGTTCAGATCATCCAGCTATGATTCCAGCTATCGAGTCTACTACGCAACTACTGCTGAAAAGCAACCCGCAATCTAGCGTCCTAGGTGCCACTATTTGGCTATTGACATAGGCCTGTCTTGGGCGCAGAAACTCCTGATGAAATGTTTTATTGGATGGCAGGCATCCCGAGAAATGTAATTTCAAGGAAGGACATTTTTTAGAATATAAATTTTCGACGCTGAATCCCCAGGTCGTCGTCAGACTTAAGAAGATGTAATAGCGTAAAAGCAACTACGCTATTACCACTACTAATGTTGTCCACCATAGACTGACGTCAACTGCAGCTGCCAATTAGCGCTCACACCAGATGACTGTATAATTGCACCAGCACTTTTCAAATTTTAATTGTCCTTTGCACAGTTTCTCAAGACTGAAGACGACCGGGGTATCTAGCGTCGAAAATTTATTGAATAAAGTTACCTTGTTTCCCAATGAACGTCTTTCCTTGAGATGGTTTATTTCTTAAAAGAAACTTTGCAAGTTTTCATTTGACCCAATTTTATAACACTCGGTGGAACTCGAGCCCACGACAGCCAGCGGAAGGCTTCAGTACAGCCAACACCCTAACCATCAGAGGTACGAAGCTCCACCGAATTTTTTTTTGCGATTGGGTCAAGTGCATTATTTAAATCTGCCAGAGCCCACCCTATTAAGTAAGTGCGCCCGGTAGTCATGTGATGCATCCTAGAGTGACTGCATAGGAAGTCCTGCTTCGGCAGTAGTCAGCTTACAGTATCAGAATTAGCATATTCCATACGTTGCACTAGGCTGGGTGAGGGGGTAATTAGAGCCGGGTGTGATGGAAATCTCAGCTTT